TTTGTATCCAGAATCTGATGATTGCGTTCGTAGGGATGTGAACCAGAAAACGCTGCAGACGTAGGACGAAACCACGTTGAGCCAAGAAACCGGACGCGACCATAACGTCCAAGCGTATGCCAGGCGAATTCGAGACCAAATAATCGACTGAGTGCGTTGACTAGAGCGTGGGTGGCCAAACCAGCTTTTGCCAAAGTTGACTGAAGTCGACGTTATCAAACGGACGATGGTTGGAGGCGTGGGCTCAGGATACAAAAAAAAATCAAAAAAAGAAAAGTGTAGCATGCGTGTAGTATAGGAATAATCCTACACCGTATCCGTTATTGACTGTGCGTTTAGTCGCGAAAGCGTACGGGTAATCGTACTCGGCGACCGGAACGCGAGACGGTGGTCTCGTTCGTACTTCATGAACCTGCGATCTCATCCGAGGTCAAGGGCGGCGTGGTCTGCCGATCTGGACGTGAGACGGAAGTCTCGTCCGTAGATGGTGCAGATGACGCGTGCTGTTGACCGGGATGTGAGAATGAGGTCTCTGATGTATCTAGCGTGGGATCCGAGGTAGACGTATAGATCTCGCTAGAAGGTTTGGTAGGTCTAGCATTGAGTCTCAAGTTATCGGGTAGGGCACTGTCATCGACGTGTGCTGGTTTGAGACGATCAATGCTGACGATCTCGACGTGGCCATGTCGATCAACCTTGAAGGTCTTTTCGTGACTAGAGATCACGTGAAAAGGGCCTTCGTAAGGCTGTTGTAGAGGTTTGCGTACCGAATCTACTCGTATGAAAACATGTGAACAGGTAGATAACTCTCGAGGGAGAGCGACCTGTCGATGTTGTATTCGAGTTGACACCGGAGACAGCGTTCGCATAAATGCAGACAGTCGATGGACGTAGTCTGATTTACCGAAATCATTACTGCTCCGTGGTGTGAAGAATTCCTCAGGCAGACACAATGTCTCGCCGTATACAAGTTCAGCGGCGGAACATTGAATATCTGCCTTCAAACTCGTTCTGATGCCTAAGAGAACGAGCGGTAAGGTTTCGTACCAATTGTCGTTTTCGTGTGCTCGAAGAGCACTTTTAAGTTGGCGATGAAACCTTTCGACTAAACCATTCGATGCTGAATGGTAGGCGGTAGTGCGTATGCGTTCCGTACCAAGCAGCCGGGTCAGTGAGGAGAATAATGCGGACTCAAATTGTTGTCCTCGGTCAGTCGTGACAGTCGAGGGACAACCGTACAATGCTATCCATCGTTCTACGAAGCGGTGAGCAACTCTCTCCTCCGTGATAGACGTGATGGGAATAGCTTCGGGCCATCTTGTAAAACGGTCAATGCACGTGAGTATGTGATCATACCCATGCGATGGTGGCAATGGTCCTACAATGTCTATATGAACGTGATCAAAGCGAGTACCAGGCGTAGCAAAGGTGCCAATGGGGGCAGCTACGTACCTGTGTACTTTTGATCGTTGACACTGTAAGCATTGCTTTACCCACATACGAACATCTTTATTCATGGACGGCCAGACGTATCGTGCAGCAATGAGACGTAAGGTGGCTGCGATACCTAGATGAGACAATCCATGAAGGGCATCGAAGACGAGACGGCGATAGGTAGAGGGTACGATGGGTCTAGGAAGACCGGTAGAAATATCACATAGGATAGTACCTGAGCTGGTTGCTAGGGGTACTTCCTGACACTGAAGGGACGAAGATTGTGGTGCTTCTGTACAGACAGGATCGTTTGCTTGCGCGGCGGCCATAGCAGGAAGATCGAGCACCGGTAAGGTAACTGCATTCGTCTGGATACGTGATAGAGCATCGGCAACATAGTTCGACTCGCCTTTAATGTGACAAAGGTCTGTCGTGAACTGTGAGATATAGTCCAAATGTCTGCACTCTCGTGGTGAGTAGCGGTCAGACTTGGTATGCAGGGCATACGTTAAGGGCTTATGGTCGGTGAATAAAATGAATTGACGTCCTTCTACTGCGTGCCGGAAATGTTTGATGGCGCAGTAGGCTGCAAGCAGCTCGCGACCAAAAGCGCTATATCTCGTCTCCGGGTGAGTAAGGCGTCGTGAGAAAAATTCAAGCGGTTGCCAACTACCGGAGATATTCTGTTGCATGACGGCTCCTATAGCGAAATCTGATGCATCAACCGCTATACTAAGCGTGGCTGATGGGTCAAGATGAGCGAGAAGTGTAACTTCAGCGAGAGCCGTTTTGATCTCTGAGAATGCTGTACGTGCGGTATCGTTCAATTCTAATTTGCGTGGATTACCGCGTAGTAAATCGGTTAATGGTCGTAACCGTTCTGCCGCGTGAGGGATAAAACGTCGGTAGAAGTTAACCAAACCGAGAAAAGCCTTCAGTTCCCTGATTGAGGACGGCACGTTGTACTCCTTGATTGCTCGAACATTGTCCTCGCAAGGCAGAACACCCTCTTGTCTGATGATGTGACCCAGACATATTATTTCTGATTTACACAATTCACATTTCTCTGGATTGACTACTATTCCATTATCCGAAAGACGCTGGAATAATAGTGTAAGATGTTGAAAATGTTCATCTAAGTTTGATGATGCGATCAGCAGGTCATCAATATAGACGTGAACAAAATCCAAGTCTCGTTCTATGCTATCGATAAACCTATGGAAAGTTTGAGCAGCATTCCGTAATCCAAATGGCATTCGTAGGAACTCAAACAGACCGAAAGGAGTCGTGATAGCAGTTTTTTCGATATCTACAAGAGCGACTGGGATCTGGTGATATGCTCGTACCAGATCGATTTTAGAAAAGATAGTCATGCCCTTGAGCGATGCCGTGATGTCGTGTATGTGGGGGATGGGGTAGCTATCAAAGCGCGTAACTACGTTTAATGCTCGGTAGTCGCCGCATGGTCTCCAACTAACCCCATCCTTTTTGCGCACCATGTGTAAAGGAGAGGCCCAAGGACTGTGAGAAGGACGAATGATACCAGCAGATAGTAAATTGTCAAACTCACGTTTAGCGAAGGCTAATTTGTCCGGTGCCAGTCGGCGTGGTCTTGCCGTGACTGGTGGTCCGCGGGTGACTATGTGGTGTACCACACGATTGGTCACCGATGAAATCTCCTCGAGTGGTCTAGTTATTCTGGGGAATTTCTCGAATAAGGCGTGGAATTTATCGTCACGCGAATAAAAAGTGCCAAGGATTCGGTACGCGTACATCGGAGTCTATTATATTAATAATATTCTTATCGTTATCCGTCATGTCGAGTATATTATATATGAAAAATAATTATGAAAATATACGACAGACGTGGATAGATAGAACAATAGACTCACCGAATTGCCTTCTTTGGAAGATTTGACCGAGGTTGAGGCGTGTTCCAATATTTGGCTCACCAAATGTAGCGTGGTGTCGAGTTGAGCTTGACTATGAACACCGCTATCAAACTACGTGCCAATAGACCAATAAGATTCCGGTAGGCCGAAAATCAGAAGGCAGATGATGGCTGTAGTCGAGATGTATTTGTTGGCGATCTCGTGGTATCGAAAGAATACCGAGATCGTGCCAAAGGAGTACAAGCGTGGTTACTGAGCGTAACCGGATTCGTACAAGTTCAAAGTCAACGGGAGAGTAAGTGCAATGGCTGTCATTAGCACAGTTAAACAAACGAGCACAGTAAAACAGTCACTGGTACAATTGGTTATAATAATAATTGTTTTCATTGAACCAATAGCGTTCTGTAGACAAAAGTAGGTCACTACATATTTAACGGTTCTCTCACATCCAAGTACCTGATGAATAAATCGAATAATAATCTCTATATTTTCTGTCCTTCTGTCTTTAAGTTACCAGTACAGAGCGTCACTACTACTCCTTATTTAATTTACTCGAATAATCTAGAATAAACGACCTCAATCAGTGCACCAATTGCATCGCATCAGAATCAAGAATGAGCTAATAGTTAAGCTTAACTCATTAATGAAAAAGAAAGACACTAGATTGATCAAAATTCTGAGTTCATATAACTTTAAAGGTATCACAGACATTCAGCACCTGACAACACTGTTCTTTATAACACTTTTATAATTTGGGATCCCAAAACCAGACAGGCAATAAAACAAGAATGAAGGAGTACTGAGATATATTTGGGAAGTATTCGGCACGTTGAAAAGTTTGTGATCTAGGCTGACCGCCTAATGCGAAGATTGAGTAGCACGGCCTACACAATTGTGATCTGGTGAGGATGATTCAACTTCAGCAAACTGTAGGGCCAGTGAAACTCCACTCCCCCGTTACAAGCAAATCAAACAGCAAAGGCTTTTGTATTGTGGTTTATACATCTAGTTAGTATATGACGTTGCTATAAAGATAACCAATCGTATAGATTACGAGACACTGGTCAGATTGTAGGGCCACTGAAATTCCACTAAGCCCTAACCATTGAATATCGAATAAAATCATCAATCCTCGTCAATGTCAAGGACAACCATCGCGCATCAGTTAATCGTACGCCATGGACTGGCCCATGCGGCAGTGGTCTTACCTTCGCTTGTATCTACTTTAACTAATATATTTCTGTAATAACGTCCTCTGTGTTGTACAGTCTTCAGCGCATCTATAGTACCTCGATACGTCAATGGGGTAATCTATGTAAGGTGCAGACCGCGAAGTGTGACTTCGACGTCAGCTAGTTTGTCACACCACTCACGTCTAACTCGACTAAGCCTCTAATCATTTCGACATAGATCATCCACGCTGGTGATCTACAAAACCAAGGAAGTCAGTATCAATTCGGAAGACTTACAGAACCATTTAGTTTGGCAATTTTTTATTACTAAAACTACTTGATTGAAGGACATCTTACTCCTTGAGATTTTTTATTTTATCACTGTAGTTAAAAAACTTGACGACTTGAATTTAATTATTTTGAACATTAGACATGCGTTACATTGAAATTGGACACATGTTTTCTCAACTTTGTTAAACATTTAAAAAACTTATTAGTTAACATGAATCGCATAAACTATCATAGTTACAGTCCTCATTTCATCAAGAAAACAAAAGAAAAAGACGTCACATTAAAATCAGGCAAAATGAATAGGTTCAATTTGCAATTTAATAGTGATATTCCAAGGACCTCGATATATGTGAGCCAAGATCTATACTTCCTACATTATAATTCAAAAGATGTTGAAATTATTGAGAATGTAAGAAAAGGGTTAATTCAAGGACTGAAGACTCTTAGAAAAAGGTACAAAAATGGGCAGTAAATACGTGAAAATAACGTTGCATTTCCTTAGCTTTTCAATAGGCAATCGTATGTCAAAAAATACATCGAATTTACTTACCAAAAAGTCTAAAACTCAAAGGATCTCGCAGAAACATTTTTTTGGTCATTGTAAAAATCAAAGAAACAGTGCTGATGCGTGTGATAAATGTCTGTCAATGGAAGAGAAGTCAACCATTTCTAAGTCTTCAATAACATCTTACTTAAAAACAGTTTAGTTACTTTCACTATTTTTGTGTTGAACAAATCATATAATCTCACTGAAAATGTTTTTAAAATCTTCGTGCATACTTAGTTGGACCGGAATCTAGAAGTTTTTTGTTAATATTAGTATAATACGGAGTAGTAAGCCATGAAATAGTACATCTGTCACTGTTTGGCTGAAAATTTACTTGATTGTCCAACAAAAAAAATATTTGGATATCCTTCACGTTTTAGTATGAATAAAAACTAGCTTATATATCATAGCAACTATCTTAGTGTATAAGTAGTGACATTTCGTGTAAGCAACCTTATTTTGGATATGGGAAACCACAGATTGTTTCTGTCTAATTTATTTTGAGACCAAATAACACAAGATGCATAAGTCAAAAGAGCTAGTATCAAGTATATGCTTTGCACTCCTCGATTACTAACACTTGACAGATAACATTAAACATTAGTAAAATTTGTTTTCAACCTCTCTTATCTGAGGCCCCTCCGATTTCCCAGTTCTGCAAGGTGAGACCAATAACAACACCTTATATCAAAATTTTTTGGGTCAGGTAATGCGCTATTTTAAGGTTTGGAAATGTGTGTTAATGAAATTAGTAAAGTTTTAGTCACTCTTATATCAACATTAGTCAACTCTCCGCTGATAAGAATACTGAACCAGTTGCCCTCTAGTTTTCCATGAAGTAATTAATGTTGTTTTGATATACCGCTTTTTGATTGGACTATTTTGAGATCTTCTATTAATCCTACACTCGGCAAAACACGGAAACACCCATCTCTCCTTTAATCGATAATAGTTCTTAAGCTTTTTAAAGCGAATCCTAGAATTAAAAGTCACACTAGGATCTGGATTATTCTTTAAACCATCAGAAAGTCAGTTAGACATCCTTGTTTTTTCTAGAAGAATTTAAGAATTAAGTTTGATCCCGTTAATTAAAACTAGTCACAAGTTTTGCTCATTAGCTTAATGTGTACATAATACATAGAAATAATACAAGTAGTTTTTTGGTGAATAGCTAATACATTTACTGTACAGTCAAATATTTCATGTTGTGTTTATATCTGTTATAAGGACTCAATACAATTTCAAATTGTTTTACTCCAAATTCGCGTTCTTGATTGTGTCTTACCAATGTTTCAACAAACTGAAATGATCACTAACCTATCACTTTCCCGTAACATTGTTTGAAACATATAAAAGAGGATGGTTCAATAAATTACCTTATACTCTAAATAAAACTGTCAGAGACTTCATACTACATCTCCAAACATAAACTGCTAAGTGCGAGGTTGGTGGACGGTTGCACGTCTAACTTCTTAACCGTCTGCTTGCTGGTATAAATGATCCTGAACTTGGAAAGCACCGATCAGACAGTTATTCATAAAAATGTCGGTAATGCTCCTCACGATGCTATGACGAAACAACACGATGTCTTATTATCGAATGTGAATAAACGTATTATTCTACGGAAACTTCAGGCCTTCTAACAAAAACTGTTTCAACCATTCAGACAAGTGATTCAAAAAGCACGTTTTATTCACCTTCGGACATTACATTCTATGTTTCATGTTGTAGTCTATGTTAGTCTGATTGTGCACGTTGTCGTAAATGTTGGACGTTTGAACATATATAAGGAGTTTGTAAAAGTTTCATGTCATCCGCCACTAAAACACTAAATGATTATGAATCAAAACCAACTTATTTGGACAGAAGGATGGACTTAATATAGCTCAATACTGCCTGCATCAGTAATTTGCACTACACACCAAAACTTGTTACAAACACAGATTAGTACAATTCATTTTTTGATTGTACTGATAGCATAGAGTCAATTATTTTTAAGAGAAACTCATCGTTTCCTCATGATGATGTCCATTTGTAACCTACAAGTATTGGGATCATTGGTACCACTGTAAATCAATTACCCATTATCGGTACAGTTAATATTCCATTGTAGAACGAAGAAGGTAGTTGTGACAATATTCCTTTGCTTGTTAGTGAGTATGGTCTATCTGTGTATAGGTTAAGGAGTTTAAGATCGCTGAGCGTATGCATTTCTTTATGTCCCAATTCTTCTGACAGTATTTAATCAAAGACCTAATCTTACAATCCTCAAAGGCCGTGAGAGGTAAGAAAATTCACCCAGTACAGTTAGAAGTGAAGGGAAAACCCATCTTCTTGAGGTACAGACTCATTCCATATAATTTAAGGAAGGTTAATGAAGAATGAGCTAGATAAACTGGTTGGAAAAGGGATAAACGGTTCAAGCTAAGCCATTCGATTGAGGTGCTTTCATTGTGACCACATTAAAGCCGAATAGAACTCACCTTAAATTTGTGGTGATTACCACCCGACAATGAATACTCGGCTACTGCGACAGAGTTGTACAACTGAAGAAACTGAAAATATTCTACATAATTTACAGAGGTCAAGGTATTTTTCTAAAATTGACTTGAAAGATGTGTATTTGCAACTTTAATTGGATGGAATCTATAGTGAACTAACTACCATTAATACACCGTTCTGGTCGTTTTAATACGAATTCCTACGGTTCGGATTATATGTTTCACCCTCAATATTCCATAAGGTTATAAAAGGTGTACTTCATCGATAGAATAATCATTCCCCACACTCAGATCTGCAGTATTAGATGTCCTTCACTCTCCCCATCTCTGAGCAGACAGGATTAAATCACTTGCTCGTCAGACTTGCTGGTGGCCTGAGATTGACGTTGATATGAGCTGAAAATCGGATATCTTTCATACTTGTTTACATAAACTTTCGTATAACAGAACTACTCTGAATCATTGGCCTACATTTTATGAATAGTTACAACATGTTCATGAGGATTACTGTGGTCTAGTTTTAAATTCATTTTATGTTTTAATTATTATTGATTCATATTCAAAATAGTCAGACGTGATACTCGTGAACAGTGCTAGTGAACACTTCACTCAACGAGCGATGAGAAAGATATTTAATCGTGAAGGAATGTCCAATGTTTTGTAGTGTCGGTTACTACGCTAAGCCCATATACCTTATTCTAGCTTCTGGACAGGCCAGTTTATTCATTCTTCTTGAGTCACATTTTGACCTTGTTAATTATTCACTTATCAACCCTGGGTTTGTTATATGAGTGTATGTATGTGCACTCCTTATCCCGTTCATCGCTAATAGACGTTATTTACTCCTCTACGGCTCATCAGAACATCTTCATATTTCACTATTTTTTATCACTATATTCTGTGGGCATCACAGACTAATTTCTGTCATATTCTATCTCACTTGTTTTCACGATTTATTTCGTTGTCATATCTATAACTATTAACTATTGACTCAGAATTTAATGGAAATTTATGCAGCTAAATATTTTTATGAACAAACTGCATCTATCATACTGTTAGTAATATATTATAGGAATAAGTAGTATATTTAGTCCGGCAGTAAAAGCATAAAAATATTACTTCGAGGTACATAGAGAGGGAAATTAAGGTAACGCTTATGAGCGAGTGGATATTGTTGAACATACAAAAACATATGACATATATTCATCGATCCATAGATGAAAAGGAAGTATAATAAAATTAATATCCAAAATGGTTTGAGGTAAGTCGTTTGTTAGACAGTACAGCTGAAAAACTGGTTCTAACGACCTTCATTTGATGATGTCAGTAGAGGAGAGAGGATTTGCCATCTCAGTTTTACACATCACATTTTACACTCACTGTGACAATAATATAATTAAATCAGTCCTTAATCTGAAACTGTAAAAGTCAGTGATTATGAGTTTTTCTTCTGTAGCTTTCATCTTGTCTTCGACAGCAATAAAATACCCCACTTAAGGCAGGACAATATATTTTTTCTCTCGACCTAAAGTGGATTGAAATGACTACTTTCGTTATGTATTTCTGGTTATTGTTCGCATTGCCATACCTCAACAGAGGACTGATTATCCTTAGAACCAGAACCCGCATAATATAATATTTTATCTGATTCGCAACCATTGTAATCCATATGAAACTAGAAATAGTTTTGGAGTTTGTCTGTAAGTACAAGTTGCTTTGTTCATTTGTCAAATCTGTTTTTGACGGAAATCGTGAAGTGTTATTTTGTACCTTGTTCATGAAATGTTGTGAATTTGAGATAATATATCGAAATAGTACTAATCCCAATAAGTCTTGAATCTCGACATAATCAAGGGCCGAAATTCGAAGTACGCAGTAAAAAATTATATATTATGATCAGTTTAAATACAATATAAAATATTTAACTTTACATCAAATGTACTGGCTTCTCACGACAAAAGTACATTGTGCAATCAAGGTGGACTGATACTACTATCTTATAGCTTACGATTTTCAACACTTCACCAAATAACATCATTCTATGGTGAAACTTTCCTTAAAAACCCAGTTGAATCTAAACAGATTATACAAACATCAAAATTATTGATTCATCCCCGTGAAAATATTCATCACTTGAAAATCTTAGGAGATTATGACTACTCTTGAACAACGGAATATTGTTTAAATCTGTCAGCAAAATGTTATTCACCTTTCCCATATGGAATGCTGTAGAGAATAACATGTTCAGAATCTGTTGTGTCACATAATACTCCTCATCACTGAAGTTAGTAAGAGGAAACTGTTTTTCCGACTCATTACTTCTTATTGAACATTGTAAATTTAACTCAAATATTTCGACTTTAAATGTCACTGAATTTCCTATTTTTTGTAGTCACATGTAAAGTTAATAACTATGTTTACACTTATTATTTTGCTATGATGATTGTATTTTACAGAAACAAGATAATCACATAAAATGAATATCAATACTGATACGCTCAGCTCTTCTCCTTCTTATCGAAAGTACTATGTACAAAGATAACTTTTATCATAAAGCGACATCAGTCATTGAATTAATGAAAATAATTAATCTGTGACAATTTTAATCTCCTTAATGGTCCACATACACACATATCAACATAAAGTGTTTAAAACATGA